GCCGTGATACTGAGTGATGTCAACACACCCAGAGATGACCCTTTCCTTTCTCTGCTTCTCAGCAGTTCTGCCTCCTCTGTCAAGACCTCCTTCCAGCCTGTCAGCTGTCACCCCTGGGGCATGTGCTGCCAGTGGTCCTCCAACTCCAGCGGGCGTCAGAACCTCTTGGGGTGGGGCAGTGCTAGGCCACGGACTATGGGCCCCACCTCCGTGTTTCTGGCTCAGTAGGTCTGGGGCAGGGCCTGAGAATCTGCTCTCTCTCAGGTTCCTAGACGAGGCTGATGCTGTGGTCAGGAGACCCTGCTCGGAGGACCTCTGCCCTCACCTTGTCACCATCGAGAGCGCTACCCTCTCAAGTCTCGCCTTCGAGTCCCATTCGCCACCCCGCTGGCCTATCTCTTCTGCGCTCTCCACACCCTCATTCCAACAGCTTTTCCAGCCTCCTGCTCTGCTCCTCTGTCTCCACTCACTCGCCTCGTGATCCCCGTGATCCCCGGGTTCGCAGCTTTTAAATACCCTCAGTGCAGCGACGACTCCATGTTTCTGTCTCCAGCCCAGATTCTGTTCTGAGCTCCAGACTACACATTCAGCTGCCTGCTGGGCTTTACTTGGGAGTTGTGTCAGAAAATATAATTTGTCCACCAGTAGCCATTTTCCCTTCTTCCTAAATAATCACCAGCACTTCAGTGCCTGGAATACACATTATATGTCCCAGCCTTCTTTATAGTTAAGGACAGCCTAGTGACTAAGTTGTCCAATGAAATATAAGTGGAAATGTCTTGTGAAATTTCTGGGAAGTGTCTCTGGTGTTCTTCCCTCTTCCTTCTTCCTGCTGGCTGGAATATGCATATGATGACTGGAGCTCAAGCAGCCATTCTGCGTTAAGAGGTGGGAGCCAGGTGCTGAGGATGGCAGAACATTAGATGACCATGGAGCTACCACACCAGCTCTGTTTTCTAAGGATTTAGTCTACATGCAAGAGATAAAGTTTTGTTTTATTTAAGGTGGTGTCATTTGGGGTTTTCAGTGGAATCCTAAGAGATGTAGATGTCTAAAGAATATTGCACACAACATATCCAAAATTGCACTTGTGATTTCCATTCCCCCATCAACCTCCCTCCTGGACTTGCTCCTCCCACCATCTTCCCATCCCTGTAAATGCGAACTCCATTCTCTCATTGCTCAGGCCAGAAGGCCGAGTGTAACCCCTAAGTCCCCTGTCTCCTGCATGCCATGCTGAACCCTTCAACCAATCCTGTCCTCTCTACCTTCCAAATAAATCCAGAATCCGACCACTTCTCAGCACCTCTGCTGCCAGTGCCTTGGCCCCAGCCAGCACCATCTCTGACCTTGACCATGGCAACAGCCTCTTCAGTGATCTCTCTCCTTCCCTCTTAACCTGCTAGGTCTACCCTTGACACAGCGGTAAGATGGATTCTGTTAAATGCAAGTGAGATCCTGTCACTCCTCTGCTCAAAACCCTCCAGAGCTCCCCATTTCATCACAAAAGAGGCCAAGTCTTCCCCCGTGGCCTGCCAGGCCTTCGATCCTCCACCTCTTGGACCTCATCCTGCCCCCCCCCCTCCCTCCACTCCAGCCACCGGATTCCTCTCTGCTCTGAACAGGCAGGTGGTCCCACCTCAGGGCCTCTGCCCTTGCAGTTCACTCACCCTGGTCCCTGGTCGTCCTTTCCCTAGACATGTGCACGGCTCCCTCCCTCCCCTCCTTCATGTCTTTGTTCCAAAGCCACTTCTCAGTCCCCTGATGGCCTTCCTCCCCTGGCCTACTCCCCTCCCCAGCACTCAGCACATATGGGATTACTGGGGTCTTGTCCTCCCCCCCACTGGAACATAAGCGTCTTGAGGGCAGCTTCTAGGCTGGGTGTGACAGCGGCTATAACTAGACAGATGCCTGAGGCAGGCTGCAGGTATCCCAGAGCTGCGTCTGCGGGCTCTGAGAGGAGGGGAGGGGCTGGTACCAGCTTCTCCTGGACTTGCTGTTTCTGAATCAGGCGGATCTGCTCCAGCTGCTCCTGGGTCATGCCCTTCCAGCGGTCGGGGACCACGCGGTGGGGCCCGAAGGAGCTGGCAGCCTGCTGCGGGTTCTCTGAGAGCAGGTCCCCTCGCAGCAGGCTGGAGATCTCAGCCAGATTGTCCTCTTGTTCTTGTTTTTTCTCTTGAATTTTCTTTTCCACTGACTCCAAGGCCTGCACAGGGGAAGACATTAAAGAAGACACTCCGAGCAACCCCCAGTGGGATTAAGGCACAGGCTGGCAAGTCTCACTGGGGGCCCTTGAAGGAAGAATGTGCTACACGGCCCCGGGGTGGTAGACTTGTCAGGCATGGCTGTGGGGAGACCCTTGGACCCCCGGCTGCCTGGGCGGTGCTGAGTGGGCTGGGCTCAGGGAATCCCTACCTGTTGGTCGTGTGCATAACTACTGCAGGTTTGGTTTGCAGCGATTTGCGAAGCAGGGAGCTACCTCCCCACAATCCCCCATTAGGCTGCCATCCCCTCGGCTTGGCCTCACTGAGACAGGGCTCTGTGCCCCTCCCTGTGGCCCTAGGCACCCTCAGACAGTGGTGGGCCACAAACAACAGCCAAACAAGTGATTCATAGCAGTGGTGACTTCTAAAAGGGGAAAAAGCATTGTCGCCTCCATGTTTCTGCTGCCCCCAGCCTTGACCCAGGGGAAAAATAAATCCTTGGCCAAACCCCTGTCCACAGGAGGTTTATGGGTAGAGGGAACGGACCCTGGCTATGTGGCCTGGAGGAAGTCACCTCCCCTCCCTGGGCTGTAGTTATTTCTCTGTGAAGTCAAGAGATGGATCAAGAGACATATCTCAATATTACCAGTTCTCTTTAGTACTGAACAGACAGGGCACTTTGCCAGGTGCCCACACACAGCAGGTGCTCACAAGGGGGCCACCTCAACTGTGTCACAGAAGCACGTGCTTTGCAGCTGGATAGGCCCAGATTCCAATACTGGACTTGCAGTATTTGGAAGTGCAGTATTTGAGTCTTCCAAAGCAAATCAGATTAGTACTCAGCTGTCCCTAAGAAAGTCAGTTCCCTACTCTGAGCCTGTTTCTTTTATCAGTGAAATTGGGTTACTCATGCCCCTCTGATAGGGCGATGAACATCAACTGTGTGTTTCAAGCCACCGAGATTTGGGAGGTGTTTCTCATTCAGGCTCATTTAGGTAGGTGTCATCTCTATTCCCATTCTCCAGATGATAAAACTGAGGCACTTAGAGTGGCTTCTCCAAGGTGACAGAGAAGGGCCTGACCTCCTCTGTGAGGACCGCCTCTGCAGAATGAAGCGTGGGGCCAGCTGGTCTCTGAGACCTCCTGCGGCTACTGGTTGGTGACCAGGGGCTCCAGGGGCCTCCGTCTGCCCTTTGTTCCCCTCAACCCGCCCCATCTCTGGTAGTTGGTCTTCCTTGTTCCTCTCCCCTGCTGTTGAAAACCAACATTCTCTCTGGTGTCTGGCCCAAACACTCCGGGACTGTTGATTCCATACCCTCATCAGTAGAACATTTTTGAGCTTGTGTTTCCAATATATTTAGTTCACAGTGTGGTCCTCTTAGACCATAAAAACAGCATGTACTTCATGACACCCACATACTCACAAACATGGGAATTTTAAATGATGAGGTTAAAAATAAATAGGAAGCAGGGTTCTAACATCTTCCTCCTGCTCCCCAGTGGATTCTCTTACTCAACTCTGCAGACCATAGCTCTGGCCAGCCAGCTAATCTAATCAGCGAATCCAGGCCAAGCCCCTTCCCCAGCCAGGAAATATAATTACATTTGAAAAGGAAACCTGGAAGGGAGGGGGTCCCATTTCCAAAAGGAATAAAGAACTTGAAACAACTTCAGTTTGGGACGGGTGGGGAAAGGAGTGTTTGTGAGGAAGATGGGCAGAGTTTAGAGAGGAGGGAGCTGCCAGGGGATGCCCAAAGTTTGCACGAATCATCATCATAACAGTTTCTCCCCTGATGAATGCCTGTGGACCTGGTCTTGGAGGAACTCTCAGAGGTGGCAGAGAAGAACTGAAAACAAGACCAGGTGTTTGGTCAGCAGCGCTAGGTGGTACCCATCCAGGCAGATGTTGCTGTCCTCCTATCACAGAAGAACCTGAGGTTTATTTAGAAAGGTGACCTGACTTCCCCAGGTCCCGTGGCCAGTTTTGTCAGGTTTCAGGCCCCGATTCAGAGCTGAGGAGCAGGGGCTGGGGCTCATCCATCTCTGTAACTAGGGAGCCCCCAGCAGGGCCCCGTTGGGGTTTGTGATGTGATCCAGTGAATGGAGTGCCCCGGGGAGGTGGCTGTGTGCCTGTCCTCCCCCTCAGACAGAGCCCGGGGCATACCTGGCTCTTGTTGAATTCTTTCACAGCGGCACAAACCGCCTTTCTGGTGGTGCTTTCCAGAGTCTGTAAATGCTTGGCAGTTTCGTCAAACTGCAGCCTTGTCTTCATGTAGAGGTCCTCTGAAAGGAAGCACAAAGCAATCAAACTCTGCACGCGGCCCAGTGCACCTGCCCAGATGCACAGCGCACCCCGCAGGACGTGTTCACGCGTTGGCTTCTCACCATGCCCCCATCCAAAGAACCGAGATGCGTCAGAAGGTTGTTGGCAGACTCGGACGAGTTCATTTAAGTAAAGCTCTTAGATCAGAGCCTGGCACCGAGTGTCAGCAGTTACCACCGTGCACTGGTAAAGTCTGCTCTGGATTAGTGATGTCTATCGTGGTAGAGGGCACGGGGGAGAGAGGTTTAGGGGGCAGCCCAGTAGGAGACAAGGTCAGACTGGGAAGGCCTTCTTGGTCCTTGAAATAAGTTTGGTTTTTACTGAGTGAAATGAGAAGCTATTGGAAGGTTTTGAGCAAAGGACCCAGCTTAACTTTTAACAGAGTCATTCTGGCTGCTGGGTTGAGAAGAGACGGTAAACAGGACAAGGTAAGAAGCAGAAGCCAGTCAGAGGCTACAGCAGGGATCCAGCTGGGAGATGTTGGCCGCTTAGTCCAGAGCGGCAGTGGCGGAGGGGGCTGTGATTTGAGATGACTTGCTGCTGGACTGCAGGCGGCATCGGAGAGAGAGGGAGGAGCCGCGCTGACTTGGGTTTGAGCCTGGACAGCCAGAAGAGCGGGGCACCCACTGATGCAGGTGGTTGGTCAGGTTTGCGGGATGATCAGAGTGTTTTACTGGATACGAACCGACTTAGTCTGGCCCTATATCTTTCCCATTATCTTCCCAGCAGACCGTGGACACTCTGAGGGCCAGAACTGGCTCTGCGTTACCCGGCGCTCCAGCACCCAACTGGGGCACAAGCTCAGAGAGTGTCCCCGCGGAGCGGCCATGTCACTAGGGATGCTCAAACCCTGGAGCACAGGCTCCGAGGCCTTCTTCGGCCCTCATGTCCAAAGTAGCACATTAGTAGGACTTAAGAGACAAAATGAAACAAGGGGAAGAAATGGTGGTGGTGGGGGTTGATTTGTTGTAGAAAGTATTGAAACACATTTTGTCTTTTTTTGTTCCGTTACCTGCGCATTTTTGGTCAGCCTGGGCTATCTTCCATTCCCTTTGCTGTTGCAAGGACCATTCTCTGTTTTGTTCCTGTTGAAATTTCTTCCTCTCGTGGGAGTTTAAATCCTCTCCCATGAATTTCTGCATCCCTGATATTGTATTCCGAGCATCGAAATCTGACTGCCGGGCTGGAAGATCTTTTTTAAGGGCAAGGGGGTCAGAGAGGTCAAATTCACGGCGACTTTCTGGCTTCTGGAAGCTCTGTTGGAAGTCATTGATAGCTTTACAGAGATTTTTCCTATCTCTCCTTTCCCGGTTTTCTAATATGCACTTGATCTTGTCATTTTGCCTCATTTCAGCAGCTAAAAGAGACAGCATATCCATAAGCTTACGATTCAGTGGAAAAAATTAATTCGAGTCCACTTAAAAAAATTTTTTAGTCATTCTAAAAGTGATATAACCCTCCAAAAAGGTAACACAACCATTAAAGGATTAGTACCCTGAATATACAAAAAGCACCTCATAAATTAACTTTTAAAAAAGCCAAGCAACCTAGACAAAAAGAGGACAAAGGATAGGAAAAGGCAAATCACTAAAAAGAAACCTGAATGATCAATACATTTATGAAAAACATATCGTCAACCTTACAAGATGGGGAACGTTCAATGGATTGGCAAATCTAATACTAACAATATCGCATATTAGCAAAGATGTGGGGAGACAGATTTCTTCTTCACTGCTTGTGGGAGTGTCACTTGGTACACTGGTAACTTTAGAAAGCAGTTTGCCAGTATCCCATAAAAATGAGAACATGCACATCCTGTGACCTGCCAGCTCCACTTCTAGGTACACCAGGGACATGTGCAGCAGGGACATGATGCAGAGTAGTCACTAACATTGTTAGCAATTTAAAAAAAAAACTGGAAAAAAATCTAAATCAGCCACCAATAGGGGATAGATAAGGAAATTGTGGTTAAAATTCATATAACAAAATATCATAAAGGAATTTAAATGAATATTCTGTGTGTAGATTACTGATTAATTCCAAGAGTAAACTGTTGAATTTTTTTAATGTTGCAAAAGGATACATTCAGTAGAACACCATTTATGCAAAAATTTAAAACACATACACAAAAACTTTATATTGTCACAGACATACATACATAAATAATGAAGTTACAAACACATGCACAAGAATGATCACAGCTCGAAGGAGGGAAGAAGAGGAAAATGGTAAGGTGGGCGAGAGCTTTAACTACGTTGGTACATTTAATTCTCAAAAAGTATCCTTAAAATAAGATATCTAAAACCAATTTGCCAAAATATTAGCATCTAATCTGGTGGTGGGTACGTACATGTCTGTTCCATCATTTCAGTAAGTTTGAATTCCTTTTAAGCTAAAATTCTAAAAGGTAAAAGGTTTAGAAAATAGGAAACAGTATAAAGAAGGAAATGAACTTTACCCATCATGCCATCACTTCAACTCCCATCACTTCAACTTTACCACAGCTAACATTTTGATATATTTCCTTTTGGTCTTTTTCTAAGCATATTTTTACATATTTTTAAACATATGCATATTTACATATATTTAAACTTAATTGATAACCCATTGTATATACAATTTTGTATCTTGCTTTTTTCCCATTAAAATAATCCTTAACTGCTTTAAGAAAAATTGTTGAACATGATGAAGCAAAGTGCATTCCATTTGAGAATTTAATCTAAGAGCCTGAACACTATTATCTGATCCATATCTGGTTCTGAGTCAGCTCAGGAGTGTGAGCTCAGGAGTGTATGTTGTCTGTGTAAACAGCTGTCCCCAGTAGAAGATCTTGAAATTTCTGGCAGAGGATATGTGTGTGTTTAGGGTTTTTCATACCCAGGTTTTTTGAGAAAACAGAGAAAAACTTACATTTATCCTCAAAATAAATTTCCTACAGCCCACCTAGAATTCAATAGCTATTTTTGTTTTAAGTGAGGAAGAATCAGTGCATTAAGTTAATTGAGCACAAGAAATTGTGAAATTTTAAAGGGAGGAAGGGAGTCAAAGTGACATTTCTATATATGTGAGGAAATGGGGACTGGAGTCTAAAGGTACACAGCCCTGAACTACTAGATGGCTATTCAGGGAATGCTCACCAAAGGTTTCCTGTCTAGCTTTTTCAGTAGCTTCTTTTATCTTTTGGTCACAAACCTGAGCATCCCAGGCTTCTGTGTCTCCCTGGGAAAGAGAATTAGAGCCAAATAATTTTATTCAGTTAATAACAATTCTACTTGTCTTTGTAGCCTTGTCCCACTGTAAACCAGATTTTTTCATATACCTGGATGCTTTCCTTATAGTTGGTTCTTCAGCCTGTCTTAACTTTTCCCAGAGCTTCCTTCTCCTTTTCTTAGCCAATACGTCCTCATCCTCAGAACACTACTTAGGCATCACCTCCTCTGGGAAGCCCTCTTTGATTTCCTCTCCCAGCCCCAGGTGGTGCTCCCTGGCACCCTGTGCTGCCCTCCCTCACAGCACTGACTCCAGTGCATTCTAATGTGACTATTTTAATGCCTGCCTTTCCCACTGGGCTATGAACTCCGCAAGGTCAATGATTGCCTCATCTCTTGGGCCCAGCTCAGGCTTGCCACAAAATAGAAACTCCGCTGGCATTTGTCACATGAATGGACTGGAGGGAACTCCTGGCAATGTAGAAAATCTGGCTGAGAGGAGAATCGCGTTCTAGTTTCTGTTTGGTCACTAACTCCAGACAAGCTCCCTCCCTGCTGCAGGACTAAATTTGCCCGTCTGGCAAGTGATGGGGGAGGGGGGCATTATTAGGTCTGTTAAGATCTTCTCATCTTCAGCAAAGTCAATACATGAAACTATTCTTCCCAGCCAGGTCTGGACCTGTTTGCAGCTGTGCCTGAATCAAAAGTTTCATTCCAAGTGTTCCTCTAGCCTCCTGCCGCCCGCCTCTCTCACCCTGCACCTCTCCTCCACATCCCCTCCTGGCCCCTTCCCCTTTCGGACTGAGGGTCTCACCCCAATGATCCTGTTCCTGGCATTGAAGATTCGTTTCTGTCTGCACAGCTCCGCATGACTCCTTTTGGCCAGGCCACAGTACTTCTCCAGGTCCTTGGGTTGCACTACCTCCATGACTGGGAATCACCAAGAAATTCTAAGAGGGTTTTTTAAAATGAGAGATAAAAATGAAAGGCAATAAAAATAGAACAAGCTCAAGCCAAGCGAGGCTGCCCTAAGAGGTCGGGCCGGTGGGATCCGAGTCAGCTCGCAGAGGCTTTCCCCACCTCTCGGTTTCCTCGGAAACGTAAACAACTCCGGTTGCCAAGAAACAGCGCCGCGCTCGCCCGTGTTCTCGCTTCCTCTCGCGAGACGGCACGAGGCCCTTCCCGCGCTTTTCCCAACGGCGTGTGAGGACGCCCCTGAGACTCGGAGGACGCCGCCATGGGTCGTTTGGAGCTGCTGTTTGTGGAGAATTTCAAGTCTTGGCGGGGTCGCCAGGTCATAGGCCCCTTCAAGAGGTTCACCTGTATCATCGGCCCCAATGGCTCCGGTAACTTGGGACCCAGACCGCCTCCGCCCACCTTGGCTGTCCGGGCCCATCTTGCCTGAGGGGTCCCGCAGTGTGGCCTCGCGGCCTGGACTCAGGAGGCTACTGCCCTGCCGGCCTCGGCCAACCCCCCGGCCCGGCCCGCACCCTCCGCCTCGGGGACGGAGGTGGGAGGATGGGGCTAGAGGCGACCCTGTGACTCGGCCCTGGGGGGTTGGAGGTGTCAGGGAGCCGACCCTCGCCCTCTGCCCCAGCCCTCAGACACCACCCACCTCCCCCGCCCGGGCCGACCCTCGCCCGCTGCTCCCCGCCCCCACCCTAAGGCCCCACCACAGGCCAGACCCCGGCCCTGCACCCCCCACTCCCACATACATCCTCGCTCCTCCGCCCTGGTCACCTGTCCTCTCCTCTCCATTCCCTTCGGTCTCTCATCCAAGGAGGTGAAGTGGGAGCGAGATCTGGAGGAAGTAAGTGGTTCCAAGGAGCCCGAACAACCATTGGGATCCAAGGAACCTTCCCAGGAATATTGTGATAATGACCGTGTTTACTGAGCTTTTACCAAGTTCTTGGCAGCGCCTTTTTTGCTTAACCCTCACACATGGGTGTTGTCCCCATTTTACAGTGGAGGAAACTGAGGTTCAGAGGGGCCAAATGACTTTCCAAGTTTCCCCAGGAAGTGGCAGAGCCTGGATTAGAGTTAGGGCCTGGCCAGACTCCCCATGACTCTGTGACGGGAACCAGTGGGGTTATGTTACCCAAGCAGGTGATGTAGGACCTAAAAAGAGTGTTCTTTTTTTAAATTTCCCCTAAATCTGGAGCCTCCCTTTGGCTCTCTCAGCCCAGATTTCCTTTCTTACCTCAGAAACCTTATTTGAGCTGAAAGATAACTGTTGCCTCAGTAAATTAATTTATTTCACAGACACAAAGAAGACACTTAAATATGTGTTTTCCTGGCACACCAAATCTGGAAATAATTATTGTGGAACTGTAGTGAAATTTCTGTTGCCCTATAAAAAACAGCTGCTGTTTAATGTTTTCTTTTGCACTCAGTACATGTGAAAAGAATATCTGAGCTTAGAAATAGTCACATATTTGAAGATTTTCTTGCCTCTTCTGTGTACTGTATTTCCTCATTTTCACTTTCTGTTGTTATCAAAAAAACCTCGAAAAGGTAATTACTTTAATGACTCCTGCATTCTTACCCTACCACTCATTTATCAGGAAGTTACTGGGGCCACCACCAGTTGATTCTCACCTTTTAACTGGTGATTATGTGAAGGGTGGCTCAGTGACCTTTTGCAACTCCAACAGTGCCATCCTGAGAATGAGTATTTGCACAGAGTCTTGAACTTCAGTCCACTTGAACCATTCAAGATCCTGTTAAAGTGGTGTTTTTAACTTGTTTAAACTAGTGCCAAACAAGTTTCAGAATAATCTTATTTCTTTCCTTAGTTTAAACATACATAATGTGATTAACAGCATATCTTAAGGTTATTGTGAAAATGCCTTTACAAATTCCTCTTGCCCCTCTCTAGATCCACATGCCCAGGAAGCTCAGCTCCCCTCTTGAGAATCACTGGTAACCTAGAGCCTGTTCTCGGTACCATAGAAAGCCTGTCATGGATTACTTCAGCACGGTCTACAATGCCATCTTGCCACAACAAAAATTTCTGACTTACTTATTACTGAATTTTGCGTAAGGTGTTCATATTCTTTTTGCTATAGGAAGGCCAAAACTCAATATAATACTTGTTTATGACTGATTTAATGGGTGATATTCCATTTATGTTCGTTTGAACACATTAGTAGATCATTTTTTAATTTTACAGAATTATTGGCATATTCAGATAGACTTTTGTTAAACCAATTGATAATTCCCTGTTATGCTCATTTCCTTTTATACTTTAATTTAGTTAGTTTTACTATTTGTGATAGTTTTCTGTTGTCACCACCTGCCAAAACTTGACATGTTCTCATTTGCTTGTTTTTAGTAAAATCTAATTTTGGGCTTTTTATGGGTAGCATAAGATTTTCATTTTAATCTTAACCTTATGTTTTCAACTCAGATGCAGCAAATAGCTGTCATATATATATGTGTGTGTGTGTGTATATATATATATGTATGTATATATATGTATATATTATATATAGTGTTAGAAGTAGCAAAAGATGTGTAGATTGACAGCTCCTGACCTGAAGGTGTAAGGAGTGTAAGAAAATGACACACTATCTGAAATAGAAAGCCAAGTAACACGTGAAACTTTAAACAAGGAAAATACAACATCTGATTTGGGGAGTTATGGACAGGAATAGGTGAAGCTTAGGAAAGGTTTTCTAGAGGAGTTGGCATTTGAGCTGGGCTCATAGTGTAAAGAGTATTTTTCTAGGGTTTTGTGAAAGTCTATTTGTGGGATAGGTAATAGTCCAAATTAGCCAGAATATAGTGTGTAGGTAGGGAAGCAGTGGGAAATACGGAATCCTATTGAATAAATCCTTGCCAGAGTGAAGAATTTGTATTTAACTTTCTGGGGGAAAAAGTTAGACTTTGAAGGATTTTTAGCAGGGAACTACCACAAGGGTGCTTGACTCTATCTAAGGCCATCCTCTCCACTTGTGCATTGGATCCTGTCCCCTCCTCAGTTCTTTGCTTTTGTAATGATCATCTTTCTCTTTTGAATTGTCTGTTTCTCCCTTATTGGATAATTTTCATTGGCATAAATATATACATACAGGACATTGAGGATAGGTGGATGTGTGAAAAGCAAGCTTAGTACAATGTTAATTATAGAATTTAGTGGTAAATATGTGGAGGTATACTATGAAATTCTTTCAACTTGTATGTTTGAAATTTTTATAATGATATGCTTGGGGGGAAATCCCTTGAACCTCGCTGTCTTTTCAGGCTGTTGCCCCATTTTTTTTTTAAAATCAGTACAGTGAAACTCTTTGAAACAATTGTCTATAGTTCCATTCTCTTCTCAACCCCTTTGATTCAGTTCTCAGCCCCAAACTTCATTGAAATGACACTTATCTAGGTCACTATTGAGCTATATCTATGAAAGTCAGTGGTCAGTTTCGTATCCTTATCCTGTTTGTCATTTCAGCAGTATTTCATTCATTTAAAAATAACTGAATGCCTACTATATGCCATCTACTATTCTAGGTTGTTTGGATTTCATCAGTGAACATGATATAAAAATTCCTGCCTGTGTAGAACTGACATTCAAATTCAGAGAGACAGGCAACAAACTAACTATGAAAAATACATAAAATATTAAAGTGTTAAGCTTAAAAAAAAATAGAAACAAGGGAGGGGAATAGGAAATGCTGAGGGTGTTTTTAAAGAAGTTGGTCACGGGAAAGCCTTCATCTCTCCCTTCTTGAAATACTTTGTTCTCTGGACTTTTGTGAGTATACCAGCAAGGTTTTCTTCTACTTCACTGGCTACCCCTCATTTACTGGCTGCTTCTCCCCCAGCTCTCTTAAGCGATGGAGTATCCCCTGGGAGTATATACTGTTTCTTCCCTCTGTTCTTTCCCCCAAGTGGTCTTATTCAGTCCCATCCTTACACTACTGCCTTTCCAAATTGTATTTCCAGCCTATAATCAGCATTTAGTTTCCTATTTCTAGTAGATATCTTAAACAATATAGTCAGGAAGAGTAGTTAATTTCCTCTCCCCTGCCTCTACCAAACAACAAACCTGTTCCTTCCTAGGTCTTTACCAGTTCACTAAGGGGTGCCATTTACTCATCTATTTAGACCAGAAACCCAGAGTAACTCTTGATTCCTCTTTTACTTTCTACACCCCACTTTCCTCATCCAACCATCTATTTATCCTGATGACTCTGCCTCTGAAATACGTCTTGAATCCAATTGTTTCTTGCCCCTCTTCACTATTATAATTGAAGCTGCTAGAGCTCTCATTTGGCTTATTGCTGTAATCTCCTAAGAAGTCCTTCTGCTCCCTTCCTTGTCTCTGCAAACCAAACAGCAGCCAGAGTGAACATTAAAGAAAAGGTGGTGGGGGGAGCTATAAATCAAAGCACTCCCCAGCTTAAAATTCTATCCAATGGCTTTCCTCTGCGCTTGAAATAAAATCCGTATCTTACCATGATCCACAAAGCCCTTTATAATCTGACCCCTGTATGTTTCTCTTCTCAAATATTCTCTTTCTCCACATTTACTATACTCAGGCCAGAATTACTTTTTTTGCTTTCCGTACACAGGCCAAGCTCATTGCCATTTCAGAGTTTTAGTGTTTTCTGTTCCTTGGACTTGGAATGCTTTTCTCCCAGGATTTCAGATGGCTGCCACCTTAGTGAGTTCTCCTTCATCCTTGATAAGTTCTCCCTGTCACAGCCAGTACATTACCAACTGTGCCAGTCCTGCCTCCATAATAACCTTGCCCTCTTCTCTCTCTTCCCACTGCTATCACTTTATTTCAGACTCATCATTTCCTCCTTGGATTAAAGCAGTCACCTTTTAGCTATGTTCCCAACATTTGATCTTACCTTACTTTAACCCATGTGACACACTGCTACCACAGTAATCTTCATTATTCCTGCAAGAAAGAAAATCCGTTTTATTTTCTTGGTAGATAAGGAAAAGGCATTTGACAAAATTCAGTATCCATTTCCATCAACAGTTTTCTCTGGATGGTGTGATTTTTTCAGGTGATTTTAGAAGTACTTTTCTCTGTTTTCCAGATACCCTACATTGAATGCTTTACTGTTTTAATCAGGAAAAAAAGTTTATCAAGAAAAAACCATTTTGGATAATCCATAATGGGTGCTGAATTCTTAAAACAATATTTTATTATTGTAAAAGCAGTTTATTTGCATTGTAAAAAATTAGAAAGTAAGCAAGAGTAAAGCGGTAAAAACATATTCCACAATGCAGAGAGTACTACTGTAATACTTTAGTGCATAGCCATATAGATTTTTACCCATATAGATCTTTTTCCCTGCAAACTTTTTTATAATGGAAATAAGATCATACAATA